ACGGGCAGTGGATCACGATCAGGAGATCGAGACCATCCTGCTAACCCGGTGGAACCGGATCTCTACTAAAAAAATACGAAAAACTAGCCGGGCATGCGGTGGCGGGCGCCTGTAGTGCCAGCTACTCGAGAGGCTGAGGCAGGAGAATGGTGTCAACCCGGGAGGCGGACTGGCAGTGAGCTGAGATCCAGTCACTGCACTCCAGCCTGGGTGACAGAGCGAGACTCCGTCTCAAAAAATAAATAAAAAAAATAAAAAAAAAATAAGAAGAATGTTGTACTTTATAGGAGAAATTCCTTGTATATGTTAGTATTGGAGTTTTTGGACTCAATGAAGAAATAGGTTTTTGAGCATAGCTTTAACATTGCTTCATTAGATATAGATGATTGCAAGGTAAGTAAAGTTAGAAATAGCTATACTTTTATAAGAGAAATGAAGGTTAAAGTTAATGTATGATCTAGGACCAGATTGTTTAATCTACCATATGAAATTAGTATTCTAATCTACCATATGAAAAGCTGGAATAAAGGAATGTTACTGCATTGGGGAAGGATGTAAGCCAGTCTTTCCTTAAACCTGAAAAAGTGAGTCAGTAACTGAAAAGAGGACTAGTCATGAGAGCTTTGTTATTGAACAATTCTGAAAGTGATTTAGCAGCTGTCTGAATACAGCAATTGAATATATTCTGATCTGTTTTAAAGTTGCTATTGGAAGTATTTTACTAATTTTCCCTTCATAAGAGAAAATAATTCCTACCTATGTAGAGGATAGAGCATAGACTATAGGATTGTTTTGCTAAATACTAGAAAATGAATTGATAATTTAAAAACTAAATTAATCAATGACAACTGCATAGAGGAGGTGGGTTCAACAGCTGTATGTGTTTTACCACAGTCATCTAGGGATGTGTGTATAAAAGTATTGGTGATCGGCCAGGCACAGTGGCTCATACCTGTAATCCCAGCACTTTGGGAGGCCGAGGCGGGCAGATCAAGAGGTCAGGAGTTCAAGACCAGCCTGGCCGGCCTGGTGAAACCCCCATCTCTACTAAAAATACAAAAAATTAGCTAGGTGTGGTGGCACGTGCCTGTAATCCCAGCTACTCAGGAGGCTGAGGCAGGAGAATCGCTTGAACCCGGGAGGCAGAGGTTGCGGTGAGCTGAGATCATGCCACTGCACTCCAGCCTGGGCGACAAAGTGAGACTCTGTCTCAAAAAAAAAAAAAAATTATAGGTGATCTGTGTCCTCCAGAAGTAATCTTTCTTCTAGTATTATCACTAAACAAAGATTTTTACTAATTTTTCTTGTCCATCCTACTTACATTTTAATGCTTTTGATAGGTTCACTTCATTTTTTCTGAACACTTACCTAACCATCAACCCCCTTCTACCATTCTTTGACTTCTTGGTTGGTTTCACTTTCTCTAGGTTCTAGTGCAAAATGCAGAAAGTATTAATGCTTATTCTTTACATCTTCATCCTTTTCCACTCTGAAGCAGTTTTTGTTTAGGTTCCCCTCCCCGCACCCCCGCCAGGCCAGTGGTCATTTGTCCTAGGTCTCTTTTTGTGCCATATGCTAGACCCTAGTAAAATTCCTTTGCATAGCAAATGTGTGAAGATTCACAAATTATATTTTTTTCTAGAAGAAAACTGGAAAGCTGAAGACTTTTTAGTAAAATTCAAGGAACACCAAGAGAAGTATTCTAGATCAGTTGTAAGCATCAACCACAAAAAACTCGTGAAGGAGAAAAGTAAAATATATGAAAAGACATTTACTCTAGGCAAAAACCCTGTTAATTCAAAAAATCTACCTCCTGAATATGATACTCATGGAAGGATTTTGAAAAATGTTTCAGAATTAATCATCAGTAATCTAAATCCTGCAAGAAAGAGACTTAGTGAGTATAATGGATATGGGAAATCACTCCTGAGTACTAAACAAGAGACTACTCATCCTGAAGTCAAATCCCATAATCAAAGTGACAGAGCTTTCAGTCATAATGAAGTTCTTATGCAGTATCAGAAAACAGAAACTCCAGCACAGTCATTTGGATATAATGACTGTGAAAAATCATTCCTTAAAAGGGGAGGCCTGATTACACATAATAGACCTTACAGAGGAGAAAACCCATCTGTATATAATAAAAAGAGAAGAGCAACCAATATTGAAAAAAAACATACATGCAATGAATGTGGTAAATCCTTCTGCAGGAAATCAGTATTGATTCTGCATCAGGGAATTCACTCAGAAGAAAAACCCTATCAATGTCATCAATGTGGAAATGCATTTAGAAGGAAATCATATCTCATTGATCATCAGAGGACTCACACAGGTGAGAAACCCTTTGTTTGCAATGAATGTGGTAAGTCCTTCCGCCTAAAGACAGCCCTCACTGATCATCAGAGAACACACACAGGGGAGAAATCATATGAATGTCTGCAATGTAGGAATGCCTTCAGATTGAAGTCACACCTCATTCGTCATCAGAGAACTCACACGGGAGAGAAACCATATGAGTGTAATGACTGTGGGAAGTCCTTCCGCCAGAAGACCACACTCTCTCTACATCAGAGAATTCATACAGGTGAGAAACCCTATATTTGTAAAGAATGTGGGAAGTCCTTTCACCAGAAGGCAAATCTTACTGTACACCAGAGAACTCATACAGGGGAAAAGCCCTACATTTGTAATGAATGTGGGAAATCCTTCTCCCAGAAGACAACCCTTGCTCTTCATGAGAAAACCCATAATGAGGAGAAACCCTATATTTGTAGTGAATGTGGAAAGTCCTTCCGCCAGAAGACAACCCTTGTGGCACATCAGAGAACACATACAGGGGAGAAATCTTACGAATGTCCTCACTGTGGGAAGGCCTTTAGAATGAAGTCATACCTCATTGATCATCACCGAACTCACACAGGAGAGAAACCATATGAATGTAATGAATGTGGTAAATCATTCAGTCAAAAGACAAATCTCAATCTACATCAGAGAATTCATACGGGAGAGAAACCCTATATTTGTAATGAATGTGGGAAGTCCTTTCGCCAGAAAGCAACCCTCACTGTACATCAGAAAATACATACAGGCCAGAAATCCTATGAATGTCCTCAGTGTGGGAAAGCCTTTAGCAGGAAGTCATATCTCATTCATCATCAAAGAACTCATACGGGAGAGAAACCATATAAATGTAGTGAATGTGGAAAGTGCTTCCGCCAGAAGACAAATCTTATTGTACATCAGAGAACTCACACAGGTGAGAAACCCTATGTTTGTAATGAATGTGGTAAGTCTTTCAGTTATAAGAGAAACCTCATTGTCCATCAAAGAACTCACAAGGGAGAAAACATTGAAATGCAATAAATGATGTGGTTTCTTATGTGAATTCTTTACAAGCTATTGTAAACCTTTAGTTTTAAAAAGAAAAGCATGCTGAAACATGTTAATGTAATTTTAAATCACAAGTCTAATAATTATTAAAGTACCATACTGAATAACTGTCTACTGTTTACTAGAATATAAAATGGGTGTGATCATTATTATTGAACTCTTATCAGCTATGAAGCAACTGCTCTTCCTACTGACTCAAATAGTTTATTTTTAAAAAATACTTATATAACACATGCAGAGACAAGATACGGAATGATTATAAGCATTAATCTCCATAAGAGAAAATATTTATGAACTATATTTCTCGTTGCACTCTGTAATAAAAAGCAGTTAGTTGTTACTTACCTAAGAGTTACCACTTCCATACCCTATGACATCAAAACGTAGTTTTTGCATGTTTACAATTTTATATATATATATATTTTATCAGACATCATGAATTCTTTTATGTCTTGCTTATTTCACTCAGTGTTTTTAAGATCTGTACATTATTGCATGTGGCAGTAGTGTATTTTCATTTTGCATACTATTCCATTTTAAGAATATATTCGTATTTATCCTATTGATGGATATTTGTATTTTTATACTTTTGTGTAATAATAAAATTGCTGCTGTAAATATTCTTGTTTATGTCATGTGTGTTTGTGTGTATGTATTTCTGTTGAATTTATACCTGGGACTGGAATTATTCATTCCAAGGGTGTATATGAGGTTTTTTTTTTTTTTTTTGGTCATTCAGACTGGAGAATTTCTACTAAAAAGAAACCTTGCGGTTTTATAATTGTGGAAAGGCTATTAATAGATCATGGACATGTAAATGCAGTAAATGTAGACAGCCTTTAGCTGTCTCTCAATGCTTAAATGCAAAACAAGCAATTCACATGGGAGGGAAATCCTCTAGTTGTCATGATTTTAGGGGTACTTTAGCCATAGCTTATTACACCTTATTTAATATCAAGGAATTAGAATTCATACAAAAGAAAGGGACATTGAGAAGGGAAATAGGTGAGGAGGATTTGAGAGTATCAGAGCCTTTTTTTTTTCTTTCTTTCTTTCTTTCTTTCTTTTTTTTTTTTTTTTTTGAAACAGATTCTCGCTCTGTTGCCCAGGCTGGAGTGCAGTGGCGCAATCTTGGCTCACTGCAACCTCTGCCTCGCTGTTTAAGCGATTCTCCTGCCTCAGCCTCCTGAGTAGCTGGGATTATAGGCGTATGCCACTATGCCCAGCTAATTTTTATATTTTTAGTAGAGACGGGGTTTCACCACATTGGTCAGGCTGGTCTCGAACTCCTGACCTCATGATCCTCCTGCCTCGGCCTCCCAAAGTGCTGGGATTACAGGATGACCCACCACGCCTGGCTACAACACAAACCTTTTATACCTTAATCTATGTCATAGGAAGTGTAAGTCTCTGAAAATCCCAAATAAGTGACTAGAGATTTTTATGTTTGAGAATTGGAAATCTGCTAAGACAGTGACTTCCACAGTATCCTTTTGGCGAGAAGAGTAAGCTCAGTGGTAACTTGAAAAGCATTATTGCAGGTCCTTCCTGGGAAGGATTACTTAAAACCAATATTTACTACATTCATGAAGTCATTGTAATAAAATTCAGTAGAAATTGATATTTATTATTATTTTGAAATGGAGTCTCTATCGCCCAGGCTGGAGTGCAATGGTGTGGTCTCAACTTAGTGCAACCTCCGCCTCCTGGGTTCAGATGATTCTCCTGCCTCAGCCTCCCGAGTAGCTGGTACTATAGGTGCGTGCCACCACACCCAGCTACTTTTTGTATTTTTAGTAGAGACAGGGTTTCACTGTGTTTGCCAGGCTGGTCTTGAACTCCTGACCTTGTGATCCATCTGCCTCGGCCTCCCAAAGTGTTGGGATTACAGGCGTGAGCCACTGTGCCCAGCCTGACAATTATTTTTTAAAAGATTTCGAACTGTAAACCATATCTGCATAAACAAGAAGATGGTTCATGGTTCAAATATTTGACTTTAAATATATTAAACAGACCCTCTAGCCTGTTAGAAAGGGACAGCCATTGCCAATGAGTAGTAAATTGAACCATTGTTGTCAATCCTTATTTTTCTGATAATTTCATAGCAAAAAATGAACAGGGTGATGAGACAAAAGCATAAAAATTTAGACTTGATAGTAGCATACAGAAAACACACGTTGTGTGTATGTGTGTATATATGTAAAATGCCTTGTCTATAATGATTAGACGTCATTAAATTTAGCCTTAATTTATATATGCATAAAGATTTTTTAAAGACTATACATGGGATAAACCTATTAAGGTAACTAAAATAGGTAATTATAGGACTTATAATCAGAACTGTGAGAACCCAAGGATGTTGTCATTGTGAATTTATAGGGGAGTTATATAGTAGTATATGCTAACAGTGGTGACTAATGGAAGAATTGTACTCATGACCAAAGATGCAAGCCTACCTTGTTTTTCTAGGTGGAGAAGATGGCCTAACTGGATGTTTGTCCTAGCATCAACCCACCAAAGATTTGGGGAACATGTGAGTCACATTCTCTGGAACATTGTACTCCCCTTTGATTTTGCGTTTCCAGACATTTCAGTGGCTACCACAAAAAATAAAAAGTATCTGTGGTATCACTACATGTGCTGCCCTGTCTCCTGATTTACTGATTATCATGAAATAGCCATGTACTGTTTCAGTAGAACATTGTATCCAATGTTCACTTTATTTTCAAACATACTACATATATTCATGTTTTATAGCTCTTGGATATGAAGAACTAGAAAGTATGATGTATTTATGGGCAGTTTTATAAATGGCCAAACTTCGAAACTTTGAGTCTGGGCATGGCGGCTCACACCTGTAATCCCAGCACTTTGGGAGGCTGAGGTCGGCGGATCACCTAAGACCAGGAGTTTGAGCCCAGCCTGGCCAACATGGTGAAACCCCCTCTCTACTAAAAATACAAAAGTTAGCCAGGTGTGTGGCGCATGCCTGTAATCCCAGCTACTCGGGGGCTTGAGGCAGGAGAATCACTTGAACCCAGTAGGTGGAGGTTGCAGTGGGCCGAGATGATGCCATTACACTCCTGCCTGGGCAAGAGAATGAGACTCCGTCTCAAAAAGAAAATACAATCATGAACCCAGAGATTATTTAAGGATGTTTTGTTATCTAAGAAAACTTCCATTGTAGGATATATAAACAATTCACAAAAGTATTTGTATAATAATCATTGAGCATCTTTCCATAATCATGCTCATAACTTTCAGTTTTAACATATTCTTTGCATGAAAAACTGACTAAATAGTTTCTTATGAAACTGTCTGTATTTCAGTTTTTTTGTTTGTTTTTTGAGACAGTTTCACTCTTGTTGCCCAGGCTGGAGTACAATGGGACGATCTCGGCTCACCACAACCTCTGCCTCCTGGGTTCAAGCGATTCTCCCACCTCAGTCTCCTGAGTAGCTGGGATTACAGGCATGCACCACCATGCCTAGCTAATTTTGTATTTTTAGTAGAGACAGAGTTTCTCCATGTTGGTCAGGCTGGTCTCGAACACCTGACCTCAGGTGATCCGCCCACCTCGGCCTCCCATAGTGCTGAGATTACAGGTGTGAGCCACCGCACCCTGCTGTATTTAAATTTTTTTTTAACAATCATCATTCTGTTTTCCACAGTGGCTTCACCATTTTATATTCACAATGGCAATGCAAAAAGGTTCAGATTTCTCAGGCCAGGTGTGGTGGCTCATGCCTGTAATCCCAGTGCTTTTGGAGGCTGAGGCGGTCCGATCAATTGAGGTCAGAAGTTCAAGACCAGCCTGGCCAACATGGCGAAACCCCATATCTACTAAAAATACAATAATTAGCAGGCTTAGTCGTGCGTGCCTGTAATCCCAGCTACTCAGGAGGCTGAAGCGGGAGAGTTGTTTGAACCAGGTAGGCAGAGATTGCAGTGAGCAGAGATCGCGCCACTGCACTCCAGCCTGGGAGAAAAAGCAAGACGTCATCTCAGCAAAAAAAATTAGCTGGGCATGGTGCTGGGGTCCTGTAATCCCAGCTACTTGGGAGTCTGAGGAAAGGGAATAGCTTGAACCTGGGAGGCAGAGATTGCAGTGAGCCATGATTGTGCCACTGCACTCCAGTCTGAGTGACAGAGTGAGACTCCATCTCCAAACAAACAAACAAAAAAAGTTCAAATATCTTTTTTTTTTTCTTTTTTTTTTTTTTTCTGAGACGGAGTCTCGCTCTGTCGCCCAGGCTGGAGTGCAGTGGTCAGATCTCAGCTCACTGCAAGCTCCGCCTCCCGGGTTCACGCCATTCTCCTGCCTCAGCCTCCCGTGTAGCTGGGACTACAGGCGCCCGCCACTTCGCCCGGCTAGTTTTTTGTATTTTTTAGTAGAGACAGGGTTTCACTGCGTTAGCCAGGCTGGTCTTGAACTCCCAACCTCAGGTGATCTGCCTGCCTCGGCCTCCCAAAGTGCTGGGATTACAGGCTTGAGCCACCACGCCCGGCCAGAAGTTCAAATTTCTCCATATTCTTCCCATCACTTATTTTCCTTTAAAAATTTTTTTGAATTATAGCCTTTTTTGTGGGTGTCAAGTATCTCATTGATATTTTGATTTACATTTCCCTAATGATTAATAATGTAGGTTTCTTTCATTCTTGAATATATTTTGCTGAAAATAGGATTTGGGATTGAGAGTTCTTCCTTTTAGCACTTGAAAAATTTCACTTATTTTTGGTCTTCATAGTTTCTCATAAGAAATCTGCTATTTAAAATTTTTTGCCTCTAAAAATATGGTATTTCTCTCTTGCTACTTTCAACATTTTTATTTTTTGTCTTTAATTTTCTTTGATTTATTTTTTTATTTTTATTTTTGAGATGGAGTTTCACTGTTGTTGCCCAGGCTGGAGTGCAATGATGTGATCTCTGCTCACTACAACCTCTGCCTCCCAGTTTCAAGCGATTCTCCTGTCTCAGCCTCCCAGGTAGCTGGGATTACAGGTGCGTGCCACCACACCTGGCTAATTTTGGTATTTTTAGTAGAGACAGGGTTTCACCCTATTGGCCAAGCTGGTCTCGAACTACTGACCTCAGGTGATCTGCCTGCCTCGGCCTCCCAAAGTGCTGAGATTACAGGTGTGAGCCACTGCACCTGACCTTGTCCTTAATTTTCGCAAGTTGGGGATGATGTGTTGTGGTGTTACATTTTGGGGATGGGAAGAGTTATCTTGTTTAAATTCACTCAGCTTCTTGAATCTGTCTTTTGCCAAATTTGGTGAGTTTCCAGCAATTACTACTTTAAGTCCTTTGTGGTAGGGGAGAGGGGTTGTCTTGCTCTGTCACCCAGTCTGGAGTGCAGTGGCATGATCACAGCTCACTGCAGCCTCGACCTCCTGGGTTTAAGCGATCCTCCCACCTCAGCTTCCTGAGTAGCTGGGACTACAGGAACGCACCACCAGGCCTGGCTAACTTCTGTATGTTTTATAGAGACAGAGTATCCCCATGTTATCCAGGCTTCCTTAAGTACTTTTTCAGCCCTGTCTTCTTTTTCCTCTCCTTCCAGGATTTCAAGGGCATGAATGTTAATCTTGTGTTACATTCTCACAGTTCCTCATTCTTTTCATGTTATTTTTTTCAGTGTACTATCTCTGTGTTGTTCAGATTGGGTAACTCCTATTGTTCTGTATTGCAGTTCACCGATTCCTCTGTCGCCTCTGTTTCCACTCTTTGTCCCTCCATTTGAGCTTATTTTAGTTATATTTTCAATTCTATATTCTCTGTTTGGTTATTTTGCATGTCTTCTAATTTCTTGTCTGGACTAATTCTT